AGCCATCGAGGCTTAGCTTTATATGTTTGGAAGAAACCGTAGACTTAAGACCGTAAACTTAAGACCGTAGGAATTGAAAGTTAAACCTTCGACAGCCAATATCAGTTGAAACTTTATATAATGAAATTTACGTGCACGGGTTTAATGTTGCAAATTTTGAAACCTTTGTAGTGAAATTGTGAATTGGTCCAAGAAAAATATTTAAAATTTAAGCATTGCAAACTTATATAATTTGTCGAAAACCAAACTATTAAAATAAAAAGTTTTAATATCCATTTGTTACTGTTATTAAGGACTCCAACATCCAAAGCAGGAAGTTCCGACAAACGCATTACAATCTTATTAACTGATCCAAAATTTACCAAAGGTAAATTGAACAATATTCTCGTACACTTAACAAGAGTTCTTTAACACGGTATGTTTATCCAATAGAATATCAAAACTATATATTTTTTTCCTGCTTTAATACTTTATTCCAAGAATTATTTGCAAGCGGAAATGCTTATAGATTTATGAAATCATTGGCTTTTACAAATTAAGAGAATTATTGGCACTTTAGTAATTAAAATTTTTACGGTGTTATATGCCAAATAAGCAGTTAAAAATTTGATAAAAACTTTGTTTTCTTGTCAAAAGTTTTTTCTTATAGAAAGCTTTGCAAATCTGAAAAAATACTTTATAGAGCTGGATCAGTTCAAGCAACTTTGAGTGTTTTGAGACGTTTGAGTGTAATTTCACTAAGATTAAAAATCTGAACAAGCATATTCAAAATTGTAGAAAAGAAGCTTATTTAAAGGAACTAACCGCTACCAAATTAAAAAAATTATTTCATGAAAAAGTTAAACTTTGCACTTGTAAAAATTTTATATGTTCTGAAATATTTAAAATTTAATTCAGGTTCCTTTATGCAATTGAAAGATCCTTAACGTAAGCTAGTTTTGCCAGAATAGAAATTTGTGCTCTCTTCCCCACCCCAAAAAATTTTACGAGCTTAAATTTCTTTAGTATTTTAAATACCAAAATATAAAACTGCTTCAAAAACAAAGTCAAGGGATGATAGCTTTATACGTCGATTATTGAAAATAAGTTTGAAGACATGTTAAGGGTTGAAAATTCATGCTTTTAATTTAAAAAACCGAAAATATTAAAGATGTAAATTTTCGACAAAAAATGTTCATGCTTTTCTTTTAGTATTTTCCTTCCTTTGCTGTTAGTGTTTGCAAAAGGCAAAATACATCGAAAATTAAAATGAATTTTCTTTTGTTCAAAAGATTTATTACCAGGCGACAATTCAGTTTAAAGTAAAATAATTTGGGTCACAAAATACTTAAATGATTTAACTTTGAAACCATATTTTCTAAATGATAATAAAGAGTGAAAAGAGTTTTTTCACTTCTAGAATAAATCTCTTAAGTTTTAATACTACTTTAAGTCTGTTATGGAAACATTAGAATCGAAGTATCTCACGTCGTAATTGAGGTAAAGCAAGCGCTTGTTTCACTGTTTGAAAAACTATATTAAGAAAAAAACTTCGGGCAGAAAACACAGAAATAAAAATTCTCGGAAAAATATTGTCTAAAATATAAAAACTCAAGTTTGCATATTATAAATATTTCCTAAAATAATTTTCAAATATAGCAAATGTATATAAGTTTTCGTGACTTTACACAAGTATACATTTGTTTTTTGTATAAGATATTTTTCAGTTTTACTTTGTTCCTCTTAACAAAATTTTCTTATTTCGCTAAAAATTTTAAACATTGTAATGGCTATAACAATAGCTATATTGTTTTTCTGAAATAAACTTTCATTGTCATTTAAGAGACGAAAACTCATTTTGTTCAGAAATGAGGTCAAAGTTTATTTTTTCAATAGATTAAGTTAACCGAAAACTTGTGTATAGTCTTATGCATCTGTAAAAAAAAATTTAAAAAATTTTCTGTTTACAATTGCGACAAGGATAAAGTTTGCTTTTTTAATTACATATTTTATACATTTATGTAATATTTGTCAATCGAAATACATATAGTCTTTTTTCAAAATTAAGCTAAACGAACAAATTTAATAAAAATTTAAACAGTTTAAATAAATAATAAACTTTGGAATTCACTTTATTTAGGTCCCGTGCTGTTTTAAAAGATACTTTACTTGGATGTAAAATAGTATGTTTCCTGCAATGGCAATTATTTAAACCCGTGAACAGCATTTATTAATTCCAGAAAAGACCTTTTCATTTGAAACTTCAAACATATCTCAGCTGTTTCAGTGTAAATTGAATTAAATCAAGTGCTAAGTACTGTTTGCTTAACCCATTTGATTGAAAGACTAATCCTAGATCGTGAGTCTTTCTTTAGAAGATTATAGACACAATGTCTGCGATTATAATGAGAGTGCTCAAGTGACATTCTTACCAGAAAAGAGGTTTAAAGTCCTTGCGACTGATTTTTAAATTATACTTATCTTTCAGCTTAATATACACGCGTTCTTATAAAAACTAATGCATAATGCAGATGTGCTATCAAAAGTGTTCCGAAAATCTATAGCAATACAGCCATCAAATTCTATAGATACTTTCAACAGTAGATTGAAACAAAATTTGGAGTAAAATATTACAAAAGCCGGATGCGGCAGAACTGCGGCAAATATACGGCATTACGTATGTTAGTAACGAAATCACATGTTAGAACTGAGTGGCTTGACAAAATTAAAAATAAATTAAAAGAAGCTAGCAGGCTCAACAACACAATATTTTCATGATATTTGCTTAAAAATTCAGTAGCTTTAAACCTAGCTTTCATTGCATATTTTTGTTACATTTTTTACATATATAATCATGTATAATCATAAAAATGACAATACAGATTTGTAAGGTTTAGCTATATCGATAACATGCAAACTTAAATTTAATTAAATCTGATAAAATTTGAAGCTACAGAATTTCAAGTTTTCAAAAGTCTGAAATGCTCTAAAATGAAATGTTAATAAGCATAAACTCATACAATTTTAGATAATTTCTCACTGTTTTAATTTTAGTTCAAAATTTAATTTTCAATTACGTATTTGATAAATTCAATTAAAATATTTGATAAAGTTGGAGACTAAAACTGCTGTAGAATAAGTTGCTATTGGCCAAATAAAAAAGACATTTTGTACTCCCAGCAACAAAATCTAGTAAGCTCGACAAAATTAAATCAAAAATAAAAATAGAAAGGTGGTAATGAAAATTTTAGTTGCTCGAGGTTAAGAAGGCAGTTTTTATCAAAACTACACCAGGCATTCTTACATAAACATTTTAAAACCAAAGTTTTACTCAAACTACGGAATTCTGCGGATATTTCAAGAATACATTTTACAAGAAAAATTCAATTTTAAACCTTCAACACTTTAATTCAGTAAAATCAAATTTGTTCAGCTAACATTTTCTTCAGAGTTAAAACCTCAGGCAGCAATGTTAACTTTTCTTAGTAGAATTTGAAATCTAATGAAATTTAGTGAATGGTTTAGCTATGACTGCATATTTATATTTAAAAAACACCATTATTTTAGACTGAAACATTTCAAAAATATAAACTAAAATAAGCAAGTTTTATCTGCGTGCTTCAAAAATATGTTCTTGTTTGAAGTTTTATTTCTAATTTCTAAGTGCAAAAGTGATTAGAAATTACTATACTTAGTCACTACTTTAAAATTTTTCAGAGTTTCCCTTTTTTCTTCTTTAGAGGTCAAGATTTAGTAAGATATGAGCTTTTAATCATTTTTTAAAATAGATTAAGCTAATTAAAAGGGGATCAAATCTTCCATTTTACAAAACAGATTTCTTACTTAAATAGTAACACAAAAGAATGTTGAATCAAAATGTTTTCAAAGAAACTCCAATTATTAATTCTCATAAAATGTCTTGTCAAAATGCTATTCAAACCTTAATTTTCATACTATAAAAGTAGACTATTCATACCTTAAAAGGAGGTCAAACAACTATATCAATATAATAGAGAACAAATGCAGAAATAGATTTCAAAAATGCATATTTTTAAAACATCTGCAAAATATGCTGCAATATTTATAAATCAAGAAAAGCTTTGAGAGAAATTATTTCAATATAGAAATATATCTTCCAAGTTTATCCGTATAACTAAATAAAATTCTATTAGAAAGTAAATGCTTTAAAAAAATTTCCACCAAGTATATTTAAAACAATATTCAATACTCATTTACTATTGTTTGAATTCAATAACACACTTTAAGAGTAATTTAATACATAATTTAAAAAAGACATATTTATGCTACAAATAAGAAGCTTTTACGAGACTTGTGAAAATTATTAAATTCCAGTTATCAATGTTTTCATAAAAGTCAAATTCTTAAAAACTTACAAGTTTACATTTTTCAAAGAACTTAATATTTTATAAAATCTCAATTAAATTACTTTTAATAAATTTTATTTTATAAGAAAAACTATTTGAGTAAAATAATTTAAGTTACTTCTGTAATAATGAACTTGTGCAGCGAAATTTATTTCATAAAATTTTAAGATCAGGAGAACTATTTATAAAATGAAGAACTAGTAGTCCTCGTTGACCAGTTAAAATTTTAAATACATTAATTCCCAAATTTAGCAAGAACAAAAAAATAAATTGCTCCGAAATAGTAGTATTTACATATGTTAAAAATGTAATTTCTTTCTTCAAAAAAAATATTTAAGTAAAAAGTGCTCGTTTAATATATAAGAGAAAGGAACCTCTTAAAAAATAACTGGTGCTTATAATAAAGACATTTTCTTTAAAAAAAAATTTTAAAAAAAAAAAGAGCAGAAAAAAAAATTTAAATAAAAATTATAATTACAAGATAAAATTGCTTACTTTACATTTGGAACAAAGTTCTAGTAATGGAATAGTTAATCATTTTTAAAACTCGTGTAACAATAGTATTAGTACAGTATTAGTTACAATTTTAGAAGCATAAAATTTAACTAAGTGGAGAAAAAAAAAATTGATACTCACTTTTATATGGAAAAAAGAGAAAAACTTTATAAGTCTCTTAAAACCATTAATAATATCGTCGAAATCCAAACTATGAATGTAGGGGTACTTAAAAATATGGTGCACGCACAATTTACAAATTATTTTGCGTTAAATTAAAACCTGCGAGCACGAGCCGGCCAGCGTCTCAAAATGATTCTCACCTTGCTTACATGCAACCTCCTTTTTTACGCTGAAGACCGAAATCCCCGCTTCTCTCTTTGATTCGCTGACTCAAGTTATTACGTCATTCCGTGAATTAAAATTTATCGGTCACGTAAAATATTGGTATCACTTCATTTCAAATTTTCCCTTTTTCTAGAATCGTTTGGATAAACTCTTTGTTTTAGGTGAAGATGGAATCGTTTGCAATTCATTTTTATTCTAAACTAGTCTTTATTTCTTTGAAGGGAACTTCTGTTCCAGTTTTAATAATCTCTTCGCATTTGGAGCTGTTTTTTTTAATTAATATTTTAGCTGTGGAAAATAGATAAAATTTTAAAATATTAAAAATGCATTTATTTTACGGAACATTGGTTTATTAAAAGCACAGTTTTCAAACGATTTCAGTTTTATCAGTGACATATTAAATAGTTCACGAAAGTTCATATATATTAAATAGTTCAGACATATTAAATAGTTCATAAGTACTCCAAAACAGGTACGCCAGTTTCTAAATAAATCAATACCGATATTTAAATAAATAGTTAAGGAAAAGCTGAGACATTTTTCAAAAATTTATGGTTTTTGGCCTAATAATCAGGACTGGGGATAGAGTGCTAGCCTCTGAATGAGGTGAGGCAGGTTCGAATCTCAACGGTAGCTGGTCGATACGAATTCTGCTCCGGGCTCGCACCAACCACAGTGCTGGAGCTTAATATCGTCAGTGGCAGACTGATCATGGGCTAGAGTCTCCTGGCTTTCGGGCTAAGAGATTTTTGTGTTTTTTTGCTCAGTGTAATGCATATGCGGGTTATTTCTATCAAAAACTTCTCCGCTAAAGCTAGTTTGTCCGAATGCTTGATCTAGGAATTCCCTTGTCTTCTGGGTTGAATTCAAAACTACAAGGCTACGGAGTTGAACATTGACAGTCATAAACTCAGAATAGGGTCGAATGTTCAACATCGATTATAAAATGAAAGAAAATAATAATTAGGTATACGTGAAGTTTGCCCCCTTCCCAATCGTAAGCTTCAACTGCCATCTTCAATTCACAGTGGAGGAGAGGAGTCTAATATATTGCCTTATGTGAAAGAAAAGACAAAATTTAAATTTAAATTTTCTTCTGTGGAATGCATTTAATTATTAACTATAGAATCCAATTTTTTATCATAGACTTTTTACTTGTAAGGATATTATAAATCTTAACTTGACGCCTTTGATAAGTTATTAAGTGTCCGTGTTACAAAATGCCACGTGATCTTTCGAGTTGTTGTCGGAAGTGACGATGCTGAGCCAAACACAAACGTTCTTATGTAAATGTATTAAAATCAAGATGCTACAAACCAAGTCTAAAGTAAAAATAAAAACAACAAAATTAAAGAAAAAAGAGATTACTAGATAACTCCAGGGCTGTGAAACCTGTGTTTATGTGATTAGGTAAATTCCCTTAAATTCTTTAACATCCCATGGAATTCTTTGCGATATGAAATTGCATCATATAGTAACTTTTGTTATTTTAAATGTGACGCTAAGCCAGATCCATAGTTTTAAAACTGGATGCGGGACGTAGATTTCGTGTTCTCACTATCACTGTTAAGAGCCTTTTACAAACCTTACATTATTACAGTCCATTACTTGCAGATTGTAGAATTAAGAAAGCTCTAAAATTATGAAACCATTTATGGAAAAACTTGCATCTTTAATTTATTATGAACTTGGAAATTCCAGATAGCGATATTCCATTTTAATCGGAAAATCTAATATTGGAAAGTTATAACAAGAATTAGTATAAATAAAAAATTTTTATTTGTTACTATTTAGATTAACCAATATACACCGAAGAGCCAGTACATTATGACCACCCTCCATCTTTAACAATGGGCTCGCCCAGGTTTTCATGGTTTCTCGCCCAGGAACAATGTTTTCATGGGACACATTAGGACCCATAATCCTCATAGAACAATCCCTGACGTCTGTAAGCTACTTGAACATAGTTGCAGACCAGGTTCACCCATTCATGGCAACAGTTTTTCCTGCGGGGGATGGTGTTTACCAACAGGATAATGCACCATGTCATAAGGGTCGAATCGTCATGGATTGGTTCGAGGAACATTCCAGTGACTTTCAAGTCATGTCTTGGCCCCCAAATTCACCTGACCTTAATCCAATAGAGCATTTGTGGTCCTACTTAGAAAACCAAATTCGTGCTGCCACGCTACCACCTCGAAATGTGAGGGAATTGCAGGTTCGTGAGCGCTTGGTACCAGATACCTCGGACTACCTATCAGCACCTTGTGGAATCAATGCCACGTTGGGTGCTAGCAGTTTTGAGGGATAAAGGTGGTCCTACATGTCATTAGCAGGGTGGTCATCATGTAATGGCTCTTCGGTGTAAACTAATTTTACTCGAAAAGTACTCATAAATGAAGGTTTTTTTCAGTATTTGACTCAGAAGCTCACTTGCCTTCTGATTCGTGTTTAAAGCTACGACGATACGGAAGTAAATGCTTATTGCCTCAAAACTGCTGCGTGGTTTAAGCAGTTCTTTAACATTAATTAGACAATATAAAAATGCCTAAACTTTACTCAGATTCAGTACACAAATATGCAGAGATCGAAGCTTCAAAATTTATATTGTGATTGCTTCTAAAGCAATTCTATTTTTTGTTTGGCACTGGACGTTGTGGACGTCCAATTTTTGAGGAGAATAAAATTAAAATGAACAATTACAATAGCTATTAAAATGTCATATTTGAAAAATAATTAAAAAAGAAAAATTCTATTTAGCTAAATGTCTAAAAAATTGCTATTTTTTCTGATTTCTTTGCTTGCTTTTAATTTAGCTAAATTTTAAGTCATGATAATTCATGAAAATTTTATTTTATTTGTAAATACATATACGTGGAACTTATATTGATGCAACTAATTTAAGTTGATTAATTTAATTAAGATTTAAATAAGGATAAATTTCAGAAATTGTCATACATTTGAAATATGTGAAATTCTTATCAGGAAAAATGAACACTGATCACACTTTCCTTATAGTCAAAAGTAACCCATAAATATTTAAGATGTGACTGCTCACACAATATTAAAACCGTGAATGGTTCTTTTTCCCATTCCATGCCTGTCGTGACTTTAATAACACAAATGCGATTGCTATAAAATCTTAACCCTCAAAGTGTTTGTTCAAGAGTTCTTTAACTTAGGATGACACTGAAACTTGCTAAATCAAATACAGGAAAAAAGGCCTATTTTGCTACGAAACGCTAACACGGAACTATCCGTTCCACGCTCGACAAATATTATTTCGCTGGGTGTGATATTCCGCAGTTTACATGTAAAATGAAAAAAGAAAAACCAAAAAGGAAATGAAATTCTGAAAACTCATTACTAGTTTTATTTTCTTAGTTATTAAATTTTAATACACTTATGGTAAATATTAAATTTGAAGGCTTATTACCATAATTGACCTTGAATTCTGAAAATTATGTTTTGTTTTATGTGTAAATTCATTTTTGTCGCGCAACAACAACAACAACTTAGTTAAAGCAAGCTTGCAACATCGCGAAAATGGTTAAAACTTTAATATCACTTTAATATTATTGATTTTTAATGCACTGCTGGACACTTGACAATTGTGGTTAGTTTTAATTTGATCAGAGTGGCCAATTTTTTTTTATTACGACAATTGCTTACAATAGCTCATTCTAATAATTAATATCGTATGCAAGATGCACCGAAGTCATCCCTTTTGCATGCACTATTAAAATCCTTGTTAAGCCTATATAGCTATACATTGAATTACATACATATGTCATTTTGACCCATGGGTAGCCAGGGTTAAAATTGAAGTCGAGGTAGCTTAAATATTAAGGGTTTACAAATTAATATTCAAGTAAGGAAAAACAGAACTTGATTGAAATCGAATGAATCGCAGCCGGGGAATAAAAGACTGAAAATCTTTCTCGTCAGTGTTTTTAATTTTTAGCACTTGAGTAGGGCTTATAAGCTTTTGAGGTGAACTCATAAATCTGATTGATTCGAATAGATTGGGCCTTTCTTGCCAAGTAGTAGCGCCGCTCCACCAAACGCTCAGTAGAATGGAGGTAGCTAGTTCGAATCCAGCCATAGTCTTGTATGTATTTGATGTTTATTGTCCTTTCTCTAAATTATACTATATCTACTTCAACTTAAAATTAGGGCCGGGATAGCCTGGTTAGTAGAGTGTTGGGCCCATGTCCGAGAGGCAGTGAGTTCAATCCCCACCGGCAGCAGACTTATCGTGTACAAAATGTGACCGGTACACGCTAAATCTGTTTGGGTCACAAAGTCTTGCAAGTTCCCATACAAATCAATACCTCTGGGGGTACTGGATTGGAGATTGACCGTACTCTAGTTCAGATCAAAATTACGATTTCTGCGGATGAATTTATTGTGTGTGAATATGCCCTTCCTGTAAAACGGATGCATGTAGTCTCCGGATCATCCTCAGGGATGTTTCCCAGTCCGTTACCCAAAAACCCATAGTGTGGCATAAATAAAATATTAACTACAAGTCAACTTAAGAGTTTATAAGCCGCTCTTTGCCTTGAGCACTACAGTTTGCACATGCACGTGTATGTATAAATATGCGACTAAATAAGCAATAAATATTTCCAACTAGCCAAGGACATAATCTATTCCTTAAACACTTAAAAACTCAATGTTAAAATATGATCTTAAAAGTATAACTATTTTTTTTTCTTTTGGGGGCAGAGTCATGATCTTTCCAAAAAAGAATTCTGGGCAACGCTTCTTGATTGTGCATTAATGCTATAACAATAATGAAAAACGGATTTCGTGAGAGAAGATTTCCTTCTTAAACAAATACCAAAAAAGAAGGAATATTTTACTAAATTATGCAGTGATAATTGCACGAAGTGGTTTTTAAATGCATTACAGCTATCTTTATTTAACCAGGCAATGGTTATTGTTAAATTATCAATTTTAGATCAGATCCCATTTTTCCATGTGAAACCAAATAGGTCTTTTGATAAGATTTCTTCCGCCTGATTCAACATCACTGATT